CTCGCACCGTGGCTTCTCTCAACACCTTTTTCTGGTTTTGGGGCATAAGGTTGGCAGAACGTAACCCTGGCAGAGTAGCTGCCCTCCACAGGCTCCACTAACCCCCTCCTCTCTCTGACACCTCCCTCCCTTGGGGCAGCAGGCCCTGCATGTCTGTGCAATGCATCACACACAGCCCTGGCTCCAGCGCCCGCTGGAGACCTCCTGCTCCCCAGGGCAACCCACCCCGATGCCAGGGCTGGCTGCAGCACGGCCGTGCCATGGGGAGCTGTCACCCTGCATGCAGCTGGAGGCACCCACAAAAGGGTGCTCTGGGATGTGCAGAAAAAGATGCCCTGAGCCCTACGTGCAGGTGTACAGGGAGGACAGAGATGTGCTGGGAGCTGCAGGATGCAGGAGGGGGGAATCACAGGGCAGGAGGGGGCATCCTTTCAGTGACTCCCGCTCCGGGCTCCAGGCGAGTTCTCAGCTGATGCGGCCAGCCCTGGCCGAGGTGTCCTAGCGCGAGGGGAGGCGGGTATAACACCGAGCAAGACACCGGGACTCCAGGGACTGTCTGTTGCCATCTTGTCCTTGCTCTCTGCTGGCCTGGCTATGGTTTGCCCCTCAATGGAAGGGGTGACAGTGGTGGGGACATCCTCCCTGAGCCCCAGGTGCTTGCACTAACACACAACCTGCTTTGGCCTCGGCTTGCCGGGTGGCACCTTCCCTCCCTCTCTCCATCCCTCCCTCTCTCCATCCCTCTCTCCATCCCACCTGGCTCAGGGGTGAACCCAAACCCCTCTGTGCACCCACAGCTGCGAGGAACCGTGCAGCCTGCGGGAAGCTTCAACGATGATGGGGACGCGCAGGTGCTGAGGAAGGCGATGAAGGGCCTGGGTAAGCGGGGGCCAAGCGCCCAGCCCCTTCCTGTTGCTCCTCCACAGCTCTGGGGCAGAAAACCAACCCTGGCCCATGCAGGGTGGCGTGAAAGCTCTGGGGAGGGGGAAAAGAGCCAGTTTTGGACATGTGGGAGCTCCCTCTTCCCCATCTTCTGTTTATGGGGGGGGACGGAGATGTGCCCACTGTTAGGGGTGACATGGTGGGGCTCTTCTGGGCCCCTCGGCTCTCCCCAGCATCACAGCTGTCATTGCAGGCACGGACGAAGGGGCCATCATCGACGTGGTGACACAGAGGAGCAATGCTCAGAGGCAGCAGATCCTAAAGGCTTACAAGGCTCACTATGGCAGGGTACTGCCAGTCCCCCTCCCACCCTGCTCCTTCCTTCTGCCCACACCAGGCCCCCTCCCACAAGGAGCTCTGCCCCTCTCTGAAAGAAACCCTGCCCAGGGAGCAGTGGGCACGCAGGGCACCCTGATTTGCTCTGGCATGACTCCCCCAAGGAAGACCAAGTTGTCAAAGCAGCCTCCTGCTGTGGATGCACCACCAGCCCGTGGGGAGGGTGTCCCTTCGCCTTCGCCTGCACCATCCTCAGTCCCACCCAGAGAACTGCAGAGCCAGGATCTACCCAGAGCCACCCCCCAAAACGTGACCTTAAACCATCCCAAGGATCTTCCTGGACATCTACCACCTCCGTGCTCTCCTCCTCTGTTTTCTCCCTGGTGTTCCCTCGGTTAGTCCGTTCCTGCGGAGGAGCTGGGGACTGAACTCCCAAACACTTTTGCAGGACCTGATGGCAGACCTGAAATCCGAGCTGTCGGGCAGCTTGGCCAAGCTGATCCTTGGGCTCATGCTGACGCCAGCGCAGTACGATGCCAAGCAGCTGAGGAAGGCTGTGGAGGTGAGTGCCACACTGGCAGGATCAGCTCCAGCACAGGAGGATGAGGTGGTTTTTGCTGTGGTTGGACTTTCGGGATGTGGCAGCCCTGGGGTTAGAGCAGCTTGTCCTCGCCTGGCACTGGTGGGGCGATGCCACTGTGTCCCCGACCAGTGTTGGCACTCACAGGACCCCACCAAGCCTCTCTCTTCCAGGGGGCCGGCACAGACGAGAGTGTCCTCATTGAAATCATGGCCACACGGAACAACCAGGAGATCGCGGCTATCAACGAGGCGTATCAGGAAGGTACGGCACAGGAGGGACACGAGGAGCCCCTGGTTCCTGGGCACAGACCGTGTTTAACACTGTACAAGGCCCTTTTCAGAGCCCAGGGTACAATTGTTCCTGGGTTGGGTCCATGGCTTGGCACTGTGAATAGTCCTTCCAGGCAAGAGCAGCTCTTTCCTAGGTCCAACATCTTATTAAAGAGCAGTGGAAACATGGCATGAGGCTCACAGGAGTCCTCAAATTCGTCCTGTGATTTCTCACACCTCCAGACTGTACACTTGTCTTTCCCTTCCATCCATGCCCCCTTCTCCCTAGGGAACAAGAGCTGCAAGCTCCACGTTAAATCTCCAGCCTCTTCTCTCCCAGAGAGCCCATAGTTTTCAAAAGAGGGCTCTGTGGCTGGTCACCCCCAGCGGAGCGCTGGTCCTGGCCTCTCTCAATGTCATGGTGACGTGCCCCAGCTCTGCCACCAACTGAGAGCTCTTTTGCAATGACCTCCTTCCCTCGGGAGCATCAGGAGCAAGAGGCTGTGCTCGTGTCCAGGGCGTTAGAGCTGCTGGGTTGATTCCCAGTCCTGAAAATAGCAGGCGGAGGCATCTGCTTCAGCCACACAAAGGCTGGAGGACAGCCACCACTGTCAGTGCACAACAGGTGCTGGTGGGTGGGAAGCAGAGCTGCAGGTGGGATGCAGGGCTCAGCTGTCTCCCTTCTCTGCAGCATACCACAAGCGACTGGAAGACGACCTGAGCTCTGACACATCGGGGCATTTCAAGAGGATTCTCGTCTCCCTGGCTCTGGTAAGGGCGGCTGGGGATTGACCTCTCCCTGCCGTGGGCAGCAGTGGGGGTCCATGAGGACATGGCTATGGAGAAGACAGAGCATCACTGCCTGGCTGGGCAGCACTGTGTGACCGTCTGCCACCCCCTTGCTTGGGGCTTTCCCAGGAGATGTCCTCTCCCCAGCTCCATGATTCTTGTATTTGAACCGCAGGGCAACCGCGATGAAGGACCAGAGAACCTCACGCAGGCACATGAAGATGCCAAGGTAAGACCCGTACTGGCAGTGCTGTTACAGGCTGTGTCTAACAAAACCGAGGATGTCACATCCTCTGGTCTGGAAATGGCATCCTCGGGGAAGCAAATGCTGCTGGGGCAGGGTCTCTGTAGGCTGCAGGGGGAGATGCCACATGAAGTGACACCCTTGGAGGCAAAGCTCCCAAGCCTGATTTCTTCAGCCCTGGGCTCTGCTGCTCCACGCACAGGGAGGCTGCAAACCACGAGATCAGCC